TTAAAAATCAGGATATAAACCTATATAGTTAGTAAGGTCCAAATTTTGAAGTGGATGATGAGATTTACAGTGATTTTATTTTTGTTATTCTTTTATTTGCCTACACTTCTCAAATTTGCCTGTCTAGATCATTAGTTACTTTATCAAATGCATACAAATTATATTTGTAATTAATGATCATTGAGTGATAGACTCTTGGGTGATTCCTTCCTCCCTCCTCCTTACCCTTCTTCACTCTCTCAAATGTGATGTCCAGCTTTTGTGTTGGTATCAGGCTCATGGGGTTTGGGAAAAACTTTACTTTTAAAAATGTAGTGCTCTGTCCTGACATGAATGAAGAGGAGGGTGCTAGAGAGCCTTGAAAGCCAACGAGGTAAAACCTGCTTCCTCAATGGCCTAAAGAAAGTGTGAATTCAAGGAAGGGACTTACGCAGATGCCGTATAAAGACAGGTGTCTACGGAACAAGCGGGAGAGGGTGGGGTAACAGTGGGGGGGGTAGGACACCACAGGAGTTTAGGTTACAAGTAGGGAGTCATGGGGAGAACCTAGAAAGGTGGACTTAACATGGAGGGCTTTTTTTTTAATCACAGCTCAAGCAAGATTAAGAAATAAGTGATGAACTGTTATACGTGGAAGTGTTTTTGTCCTTTCCTTAAACTTATATTTACACAAGGAAGCAGCGCCACGGAGTGACATTCATTGGCAGTGATGTGGTGTACAGAGGAAATCCCGTCGCCGCGGAAACAGCACACCTGGGTTGATGTCTCCTTTGGTTTGTGTGACGGTGACCTGACTCCTCCCCTGTACAGCAGCAACAACAGCCACAACAGCCATTCTGTCTAGCTCAGACGGAGTTGGCACGTTAGCAACCGCACAGAGGTTGCTAACAACCCTAATCTAGACCTTAAAAATATATAATCACACCAAGCCACAGGATGTAAAGCCACTGTTCTCCCTTCACTGTGAAGGATAAAATGGAAGGGGAAAAAAGACATTAATCCTAGGTGGCACTCGAAGTGTCTGTGGCACATACGCCATACATCTTTAAGGTGTGGCACTTGCTCCTTTGCGTGGTTCCACAGCACCAGCAGGAATGTTCCACTTAAGAAGAGGCTCTGTGTCTCTGTGGTTATTCACCAATCCAGACTAATCTGCGAGTGGTGTCCATCTTCCCTAGCTCTCCAGAGTGATGCTAATTTGGGGGTTGCTGGGGGTTCTCTCTCCCAACCTGATGGCCTGGCCAGGGGTGAGGAGCGGACTGTGCAGTTCTCAGAGCCAGACCCTTGGCTTACACTGGAGAAACTGGGGATATGGTGGGCAGGAGACCACACATTTGGAGGCCCAGAAGAATCCTGGAGTCAGAAAAAACTGAGCTGTGGTGGGAAGAGGAGTGGAGGGTTAGTTCTGTTTGACAGGATCTAGCAAAGAGGCTGGTATTGGGCTTTGTGAAAGTAGGCTGGCTGAAAGGAAGGCTGGTAAGAAGAGGGAGTCAAGTTAGGGTGCTAGAAACAGAATGGAGTCCTTAAATCTGTACTAGTCCTTGAAGTTGTGACATCGGAGTGGTAGAATTACAAGGATGTTGAAACACCTTTTTCATCTGTATTTGTGTAAACAGGCTTGGAGAGCTGGAATATCCTGACTCACATTGTCAACAAACTAGGGGACTAGAACCCAGGAATGCCAAATCTCAATCCGGGTTATTGTTCCTCAAAACCAAGTTTTTCCCCTAATGTAAGGAACTCCCCTCTCCCTCTACAAGCTTAATGCAATTCACAGAATTTCAGTGAGCTAATTTCTCACAGAAGGGACCTGCCCAAGGATGGACTGGAGAGTGGAGGCAGGCTGGGGAGGGTTTGCCCTGGCAGGGCTGTACTTGAAGACAAGGCCTGGCAAGACCTAACAAAAGAAGGGTGCACCTCTCCCCAGACCGCCTTTCTACTGGGGAAGGAGCCCCCTTTCTTGAGATTTTTCTTTCTATAAACCTTTCCCTCAGCAAAAGCCCTCCAGAAAAACTGTTCCTGAACCACCTTCTCACCGGGCCTTCTGTCTGTGAAATTACAACAGGTCTCAGCTCATACACAAGTGCCCACAGTGAAGTGGGAGCAGGTATAAAAATACACTGAGGGCTGCTTTGAAGCAGTTAGGAGCGAACCGAGTTTACAAATACAGAAACACATGGGAAGATGTCTGTGTCAAATCCCCACACCAACAGCTTTCCTCCAGTCGAGATGCTGAGTGGGTGCAAGTGTGGGAAAGAGGGAGAAAGAGATTAGAGGGGGCTAATGTGGTGTTTTATTCTGTTTAAATGAAAAGCGCTACAGTGGAGCTTTTAGAGCATTACAGCTCTAAAGAAAGCAGCTCAGGAATAACGGCAAATGTGTAAAAGTATGTGTGGGGATAAGGATTTGAATGTAATATGTAAACATGCGATAACTATGTTGGCGGGAGGTGGGATGATGGGTGATTTACTCCCAAACTCTTCATGCTTGAACATTTTTAATTTAGTGTGTGAACTTTTCAAATTTTGCTTCCTGGTTCTCTTATACAAGTCAAAATCACCAAAAATTCTTGCTCATTGTCCAGCACAGCCATTTTAAGGGCAGTAAAACCCTGGACACCATCCAGGTATTTTAGAGGACTGATGAAATCGAATGTGGCCCAGTGACAATGGCTACACGATCATTTAAAGAGATGGGGTAGGCCTGAATGTGCAGCTAAGGGAGAGTACGCAGACAGAGAGTGAACACAGGCAGGTGGACAGCATCCGTACAGACATGTACCCTCCACGGAAGATTTCTAGAAGGATACCCACGAATGCTGGCAATAGCTGTGTCCATCTGGATAAGGGAATTGCGGGCCTGAGGTACAGACACAAAAACACAAGTTGTGTGTGTGTGTGTGTGTGTATACTGGCACCCTTTGTACATGTCCTGTTAACTTTCTAGACAATGTTCTAAGGGTAGTCCCCCCTGATTTTAAGATAGAGGAACCGAAAGTCCTATTCTTGTCCCCATACTTAGAAAACAGACAATCTGATTATGCTAGAGTTGTCAAAATGTGGAGGCAATGTGTGAAAAACTAAATATGCTCATCTTTCAGAGGGAAATCTACCGAGCTGTATATACATAAATGCCGCTGAAGAACTGGGTCAGCCTCCCACCTGGCTGTCCCAAATAAAGTAGCCAGGAGATGAGCTGATCGGTCTCCTCTCCCTGGAGGGCTCAGAGGTGCTTTTCACTTGAAGATACACATCAACCTAGACCCTCGGACTCATGTCCAACCTTGGGAGTCATGCCGTCTCCCAAATATTCTGCACAGACTGTGACACAAGCCGAGCCTGGGTCTTTCTGGGTCCAGGTCATCTGCTCCAGTACTTCAGGGGACACGGACTGTGTTTGGGCAGAGGGATGTCTTGAGCAAGGGAGGCCACTTTATGTCTCCTGGCCTCCACAGCAGGAGCGAGCTCTCCCTGGGTGCCTCTGCCCAGAACACCATGCACCTTAGTAATCGACCATGTTTTACAGGACACATCACCTCCACTTCCAAAACCCCTCTTTGCTTTCACGTATTTCGGGCTCTCCTAAAGGATGTTTTACTACAAACTCACAAGAAGGGGTGGCAAGATCTTTCTGCCTTTCCCGCTGAGGCGTCTCAGTCTGAAGGAAGCTCAGAGAGTTACTTAGACCAAAGGGAAACCAAGATGGCCGGCAAGGCGCAACCACGGGCATGTGACTTGGTGCCTGGCAGGAACAGGCATAGAAGTGGTCTAGGCCCCCAGAAAAGGAAAGTCACTGGTCTGGGACACTCTGGAGCCAGGAAATGGCAGGTTTGAACACTGAGAGGACTAGGCAGCAAGAATGGGCCTCGATGGGAAGATGGCAGGAGGGCCCATCAGACGGGCACCAGTGAGGTGGCAGACAGCTAAAGAAGGGTAGGCCACAGGGTGTGGGGCAGCCCGACTTGGCTGCCCGGTGTCTTCCCCAAACAGGCTGTCTCAAAGAATTTACAAGGGAATAATTTTTCATGGTTAAGTTGAAAATCACTTATGCTCCACATATTCCTCAAGTTCCAGATACAAACGAAGAACATGTCCTTGTGACGTTCCTTCTGGCTGCCATGCATATTAAAACAGCGCTGATCTGGCCGCTGTTACTTCACGCGCAAGGTCACGGGTGTGTGCCTTTCCTCCTCTCTTTAATCTTTGTTCTGTTTTATAGCTGATGAGAATCTACACCAGTGGCCCAGGGCAAGAAAGCAAGACCGTTTATAAAGTGTTCTGGCATATGCTGCTTTTATTTTGGAAGCCAGTAGCTAAAATGACATCTGTGAATTTGATTAGCTATGCTTTGTCCCACGACCACAAATAAACCGTAACAGGTTGCGTTTCTGGGAAGTAAAATTTCTTCTGCCTTCTTCCTGCTTAAATAACCACAAGCCCTTGGAACCCGTGAGCCCCTTTATTGACCAATCTGGAGTGGGCTACAGGGGTAAACTGAGGGAGAGCTTCCAGTCTCTTGCCTCCTGTCGCACTCTGTCCCCTCAAAAGATGACAGCGTTGAGTTTTGCCTTAAATGCAAATAGTTTCACTGTCAGCGTGGACTTGTCTCAAAGATTTATTTTTTAATTTTCTTTATCTCACTGCTATTTTTTCCAGATTGTCCTCAAAATCTGAAACTCCACATTAGAATGCAAGTCTAGCACAGACTGTTCTACAGCCCAGTGAAGGACCTCCTTCCTCCCAGTTTGGGGGGGCTCTTTCCTTTCCGGGGCTCCCAGCTGCTGTCCACGCACAGGCCGTGCTCTGCCAGCCTGGGAGCAGCTGCTGACTCATGCTGACTGTGGGACCTGCCGAGGCCCTGGCTGCTCTCTTGAGCCGGGACAGCCACCACCCACCTCACAGCACACTCCGCCCAGCCCTGTCCAGGTCTCAGCGCTAACCTGCTGAGAGGCCCCCCACAGCCACAAGGCTGCACCGGGCCCTGCCCCCAGCTCAGCCCACCTGGAAGATGTCGTTGGCGCACTTGCGGCAGAGGTTGTGCTGGCAGGGCAGGATCACCACCGGCTTGGAGAACATCTCCAGGCAGATGGGGCAGATGAGCTGCTTCTCCAGGTTGTCCATGCTCTGCGCATCCCCCAGCAGCGGCTTGAAACCCACTGTGAAGTTCATCCCTCAGCGATGGCGCCTTCCCGGGCCTTGGCCCTGTCCCGGCCTCCTCTCACCGCCTCTGGACCCTCCTCGCTGCCTGTCTATGGCTCTATGTGCCCTTCTGCTGCTCCTGCTTCAACCCGTCCAGCTGCCCCTCCTGTCCGTTCCTCTAACGCTCCGTCGCACCTCCAGTAGCCGTCGCCACACACCTCTCTGTCCCTAGCTTTGCCCAGTGTGCCAGTGGACACGTGCGGCTTTGCCCGCCTGCCCTCCCTGAGTCTGTCCTGCAGATCTCGGCTTTGGTTCTCCAAACGACTCCTGTTCACTCTTTGGGCAGTGCTGTTTGTCTCTCACTCCCCAGAGAGGAGATTAATTTTAACATGGGGGTGGGGAACGGGGGCATTGCGTGACATTCCAACTCCCGATTTAGCTCATGTAAGGCGAGCCACAGCTGTCACCGAATGAGTGACCCTGACTCACTCAGCAACCGGTGACTCCCTCAAGCAAGAGCAGGGGCTGCCGCCCTGCTGGCCTGGCGAAAGATGTGTAGGGTGCGCCAGCAAAGCGCGAGCTCTCTAGGCCCCCAGGCTCTGGGTCTGTTCCTCTTTAGGGCAGTGACCCAGAACCCCACTCAGCCTGTGGGAGAGGACCAGGCATGGCTCAGGATGGGAGGAAAGATCTTGTGAGACCTACAGTCACTGACCGCTCCTGCTTCCACGGCTTAGCCGGCGAGCCAGGCCCTCTTCCTGCAAACCCTGGGATTCAGAACAGGGGTGACAGGGACTAGAGAGGAAGCCCATTTTTGTCCATGCTCAGGCCATTCTTCTGTCACTCTGGGGAAAGAAGCGGCAGAGGCAAAAGCTGGCACTTGAGCCAGGGCCTAGAAGGACCAGGATCCTGACTGTGCCCCTGAGAAGTGTGGGGTTCTGGCCCACGAATGCCTCTGGGGAGCCACTTCAAAGATGTGAGATTTGTTTGGGAACTGAGAGAAGCTGTGCTGGCCAGAAGGGACCTGAATGTCAGGGACCTATTTTGGGCAGCAGGGGAACTGGCCTCCAGGCAGTTTTAGAGCAGTGACAGAGTCCTAATCACAAGCTCCTGCAAGCTGCTCCCAGCCCCTCACGTATCTGGGGCTGAGAGCAAGCACCGGGCACCGAGCGTCTTCTCTTCCAGGCACAGTTTGTCTTTCTGGGGCCCGATTTATACACTGCGATTGGATGAAAGTTCTTTTATTTACTGACATTCTTAGACCCTTCCCCAGTCAGGAGAGAGGTTTGAGGAGTTACTAGGCTCTGACCCTGGGTGGATGGAAAACAAATGGTGTGGAGAAGACACCGAACAGGCAGTGTGAGAGTTCCATCTTTCCCTAACACGTGTCCTACCCCCGTTTCCAGCAATCTACATGGCATTCAGTTTGCAGAAGACGTGGTGAAAAGGGGCGGAACCAGCAGGCATGGATGGCGAGCCCCAGTCCCACGAGGAGCAGTCACAGGGAGTCCCAAAGGTGGGCCCGCTAGCCCCAAGTCTCAAATGCACCCAGACTTCTCCTGGGTTGACTAGTGGTGGCATGGAATGAGGCTGGCGAGGCACACGCCTGGAAACCAGAGGCCACAGTGTACCTGCTTAGGGATGAGGCTGCTGTGAAGAGTTCTTAGTCTTAGCATTGCAGCAAAGGAGGGTTAACTGGTACCACGGTCACCTGGAGCCAGGTGGCTGAATCACAGGTGGCTCAGGGACCACACCAGGTGACACAGGCTCGAATCTCAAGGAAGGCACTAGAAAGAGAAAGCCTGGGAAAGTTCTTAAAGCACTACCTGAGACATCATAAGGGTCGAGCTGGGAGGCGGCTTTCTAACAGATTGGAATTGGGACTGGTGCTAGAAAGGCCCAGCTGGGCCTCCCTGTGTCCTCAGGGTCAGCCTGGCAGAAGACAGAGATGGCCTCCTCACTGGGACGAACAGCAAAAATGCTTCTGAGCTTGGGGTTCTTACAAGTAGAGGGAAAGTCAGGGTCGATGGCAGAACAGGGTCACTTGCTTCTCTCTTCAGCGTGTCCAGTCGACTGGGCAGGAGAAGGCACCCTCACTGGGTGAGCACCTACGAGAAGAAGGTGGCATTGTGCTAACCAGAAGGAATGATGACCCAGAATTAAAACAAACCCCTCACAGGCTACAGGCTACAGGCAGAAACTCTAGCCTGTAAGGATATAAGCCCACCACCCATGATTCATCTGAAGTTAGTCTAATTCATACTCTTAATTACTGTTGCATTTCAGTTCCCATACCTCACTATCCTTAGTCTTTTAATCATCATCATCATCATCATCATCTCCCACTTTTTCAAAATTTTCTCTGTTTCCTGGGATGGAATTTGGAAAAGAAATTAATAAACAGTCAATAACATATTTTTAGTCTGCTAGTGGGAACAAAACCATTACCTTGCAGTTTCGCGTTATCATCACACGGTGGCACTAGTGTGCCCTTCAGTAGGTCTCACAGGGGTTACCTACTTGGGGTGGGGATAATCTCACCCTTTGGGGTGAGTGCCATAAACTACACCCTCTGATTTGTCTTCAACTCTTCGAGGCACACTCCCACTCCGTTCCTTACCTGAACTTCCATCATGTTCTGTAGCTTAACAGTCATGACATTCAGACTGTCACTTTGTCACATAAGCCCCTCAGAAGTCAAGTCTCTCCCCTTTTCTTTCTTTTTTTGCCCCAAATACTGACTTGAGATTCCCATATCCAGGGGTTCACAGTTTCACCCCCAACCATTTCTTTCGTTTCCAGGCCACTCTGTACCTCAGTCCCTATCCACGGTTCTCACCTGCTCTTGGAGGCTGGCTCTGGACATTCTGCTGATATCTTCTAGCAACTTCCTCCGATGGTGGTGAAAGTCTTCCACAGCACAGGCAGCAGCAGCAACAACAGCAGCAGCAAGTGAGCAGAAAACAAAGGAGGACAAGTGTCTACAAGAGACAGGAGAGAGTGGCTTCAGGCTGCTGGATCGTCTATACTCCCACTCAAACTCCACCCCCCTACTCCTGGCCTCCTGGCACACAGAAATAAGATGACAAAGGCCTATGTCCTAGGTCAGGAGGTCCGCTGTCCTAGAAGAGGAACCTCTCCTTCCTTATTATTAAGGGACGAGAAGAGTCGTGTACCTTGAACCAACAACTAGTCATCAAAAAATAGTATCTGACGCCATCTTCACCAAAGTGCTCATATATATATATTCCCAATGAGCCATGCTGGTCGTAGATCTTCTTCTTCTTGGGGTCACTCAGTATGGAGTGGGCGGTGTTGATCTCTTTGAATATTTCTGCTGCTTGCGCGTCCCCTGGATTCTTGTCTGGATGATACTTCAAGGCCAGCCTCCTACCCAGGCGATACCCAAAAGGAGGATGGGTAGAGGATGGTGATGCTGGGGAGGGAGGGTTAGGATGAATGACAGGGACAGGTTTCTAGATAGTGAAGAAGGAATACACGGCCACATCACAAAGGGTGGAGCTAAGCAGCCCCAGTCTGAATTCCTTTTCATGACACACAAAAGAGGTGAAGGCTCCATCTGGCCCCACAGTGAAAGCTTGAGGGCTTAAAAATGGGTGAGCGGACAATGTAGGAAGAAAAGGGCTTAGGAGGTGGAGGAGAAATTCAAGGTTAAGGAAGGGCTGAGGTCTGAACCTGTAGGCTTTTTTGATGTCTTCAGGTGAGGCACCCTTCTTCAGTTCCAGGAGAGCATAGAGAGTCTTCCCTTTTTTGGAGAGTTGTTGGGCAGCTTCATCCAAGTGAGACATGATCTGGGTCAGAGAACACACATTTGTGAGCAGTTCCACAGCCTTCAGGGGTCAGACAGGTAAGTGACTGCAGAGGGACGTGTATAAGGTGGCAGTGAGTGGACCTGTGACTGGCAGGAGAGATCAGGTGGGAAGACAATTAAAGAAAATTTTAAGTCAAATAAAAAATTTAAAAAGAAAACATCCCAGCATCCTTCAGCAATGCAGATACCCCATATCCTACAGAAGTGTAGCAAGGGGACCCCAAGCCTGGGCAGAAACTGACTGTCCACTTCCATAGTAACCTAAGTAAAAGCAGCGAGGCTGTCCAAGCTCAGGCTGGGTCGAAAGACCCGGTAGGCCCCAGTCACTGAACAGGCTGGGTCGGAACTGAGACATCTGATTGGCCTCAGCATCACCAGGTGTCCCCAGGCCACACATGTTCTTCTCCAGGTTAGGCTCCCATCTCAACGCTCCACCCCCCCACCCCCCACCCCCCGTCCTTGGGGAGGCCCGGGGGGATGATGCAAGAGATGAAGAAGCCGGTGAAAAGGGGTAGTTGGGGGGGGGGGGCTGACCAGCCAGGGAACAGGGAGCATTGCCCCAAGAGAGTGGGGGAGAGACTGGGAGGCCTGGGACCCGGGAGAACCGAGGCAACAAGCTCAGGAGCGAACCCTCGTCCCCCCCGCTGGCTCCGTGTGGCCTGCCAGCTCCGTTGGCCGCCCAGACTGCCTGGCGCTTTACCTTCTAGCAGTGGCCTTCAGCTGGGTAGGCCCGACCCAACCTCCACCACCAGGCTGGGAAACTTCTCACCGCGGGGCCCCCCCCCCACGCCCCACTGCGCCTGCGCGCTGAGTCCCCGTGACTCCTGGTCACTTTTTGGCGCCTCGGGAGGGCTGTCAGGAGAGGCCAACTGGGCCCTGGGACTTATTTCGCCCTTAAGAAGGCCGAGGGCAGCGATGGGCCAGGCGCCAGCGTCGATTCCAGACCTTCTGGGGGTTGGCGGGCCGCCAGGGCTCTCGCCTTCCCTTCCCCGTGGGGCCATCACCCACCCGCGTGGGTGGCGGTCATGGCTCCTCGACTCGCTGGAAGAAAGGTAATGGGCTGGTTTCTGAGCCGGCAGAGGGCGCCGCTCGGGCCGGCTTCTCCCTGTCGGCACCTGGAAAGTCCACACCGACCTGGACACCCGCCTGCAGTGTTCCTGAGGACCCTCCCCTCATTGCCTCAGTTGTTCTCACCTGGCTGCATGGGCGTGCGTGTGGGCTCGTGTCATGGTTACCGTTTACACCGTCCTTACGGCGGTGTTTTGAACATTTCCAGCGGTCACACCTGCGCTTCAAACCCCTTTCACTGGGCCCTCCGGGTGGCGCAGCGGTTGGCTGCAGATGTCTCTGGTGTTGCCCGTTGCTCCCCTCAGCAGTGCACTTCAGAAGATCTGCCTGTTCCTCTCCCCACTCTGTCTCTGGTGAATCCTCTATCCCCGCCCCCCCCATCTCTGGCCTGCACCCCAGCTCTAAGAAAGACTTCCATTAACTACTAACCTCATCCTGAAGAGACACCCTACTGTAATTATAATCCAGACTGCATAGTTCAGCTTTCCGAACCAATGGAGAGTAGAGTAATAAAAACTTCTTATAGTGAAAAATCTTACCTATAAATCCTTAAATAAGTTTTTGTTACCCTTAGGAGGGAAAAGTCCTGGAAGTGGAATTTATTGGGTCTAAATATTTTGTTCATGTTCATGGGGGGGAAGGGGCGGGAAATGTCTTCTTTTTTTTTTGACTGTTCCTGCTCCTGATCCATGTCGCTAACTCTAATCTCAGAAAGATACCAATTTATATCTCTAACTCATTTACCTTCCACCTGCATGAAACAGTCTGTTTCTACCTGGTCTCAGTTCCTGTGAGAGGAGGTGGTGTTTGCTTCACTTATCATTTGCCCACTTTGTGGTGGTTTTCTTTACAGAAAGGCACTCACTGGCTCTTCAAACATGTCATTGAAGGAACTTACTGTGTCAGTAATCTCTCTTGGTTACCCCTCTTGGCGTTTTCACCACTTTTCCATTTATCACAGTTATTTGTGCACATTTTTCTCCACTTCTAGGTGATGGAGCCATTTTTCTCCACTTCTAGGTGATGGAGCCATCTGCGCAAACTCACTAAGGAGTTCATATAGAACGGTGCTCATGGAATTCATTCATTTCTGTAAAACTGTGATTTGTGTAGGGGGTGGGGGTGGAAATCTTTAGCAACACCAACTCACTTCACAGGTCACCCAAAGCGAAGGAGCTAAAATGGACCATTTTTCTCTATACTGTTTTGTTTGCACTATGCCACATTTCTCAAACTAACTTCCAGCCCTGACTTACCATCACTGGGCAACAGAATTAACACAATCCAGGTCATTTCTTCACTAGCACAAAACAGAATGGAAGGCATTACGAACACAGTGAATCTCGTGAAAATCTTGCTCCAGTCTAAGGCTCAGCATGCTGCAGCCCCTGCTCTCACTCCAGCTCTGTCAAGTACTGTGCTCCCTCTCGCTTCAGGGGCCACTGGTGTGACTGTTCCCTCTGCCTGGAGCGCCTTCCCAGGCATTGGCTGGCTGACTTGGCGTCCTTGCAGGATCTCTTAGAGACCATCCTGGGAGGACCGCTTGCCCCCTCCGATCCATGCATTCCTCTCTCCCCACCTCCTGACACCCTCACCATGATAAGTGAACTTATCTTTATTTGCATGTTGGTTTGTTTAGGTCTTTCTCTCAGTAGCTATTGAACTCCATGAAGACAGGGACCTTGTATGCTGGTTCACCTTTGGTCTCCGGTATCTAGAGCCCTGCCTGGCTTATCAGAAGCAACTTGACTTGTTGAATGAGTACAGCCCTCTGCTGTGCAGAGATTGAGGTATGGCGAGAATCCCCTGGGGCTGCAGTACTCAGAATTCAATAGGACACACGGCTCATCTTTCCTCATACAGTCCCCCAGGGAAGAAGAGACACAAGGGTGAAGAGAAAGAAGGCAGCAGAGGAGATAGAAGTGGTGCTTCCAAGTTCCTTGTTTCTTTTTTGTCTTAATCTTCCTTCAGTTGCTAACACACACAGCGCCTGAGATACGTAGGTGCTTAGGACACTTTAGGTTGAATGAACAAACTTTTGTGTGGCTTTTCAGATGGGCTTTTACCTAATTATCTCCTTTGATCGTCACAAAACCTCGAGAGGCAAGGTGACCGTGTCCCACCCAGTCCCTGCCTTATACCAGTGAACCCTGAGAAAGAGGGTAAGTTTCGTTCTGAGAACAGTTAGTAAACATCTTTCACATCTTGCTAGAGGTGCCAGGATGTTGTTATTCCTTATCACCGTGCTCTAACACTCTAATTAACTCTAATCCTAGTTCATGGCTCTCAAAATAGCCATTATCTTTTCAGTCTTCTGAGCCGCTGCTCTGGAGAAATGATGCTGCGTCTGGGAGGCTGCAGACGTGGGAACAGAGCTGGCAAATTGGCCTGGCCTCTTTTAGCTCAGTCTCTCCACTTTACCTTCACCAGAAGCAGACCCCCTTTGACTGTTTGCTCTACACAGTGCTAGGAAGAATACACAGGTCTCAGAGGCCTTAGGTCTTAGCTCTGGTTCTGACTAACAAGCTGTGTGGTCTTGGGCAAGTCACTTAATCTCTGGGTCATTTCACAGGGTGGAGGTCAAAACTAAATTAGCTTTGTTATAAACAAAACAAAATAACTATGCTAAAGAATGACTGTAGACTGAAACATTTTCTGGAATTATTTGGTTTCCTGCCATACATTGAATCCGTGATCTTATAGTTTACTACCTCACAGAACCATTTGGTCTCCCCTGGAGAAAACCAAGAAGCATTCCTTATTTACCCACAAACAACTAAAGTTTTAGTCATATAGCTGGAATATACACATACAGACAGCCGACATTGGCATATTTACACCCAAAATATCACGCGTGGTAACATATGCAGTGGGAGAGAGAGATCATAATTTGTCATACCCAACCCAACCAGCAGATTCTGGAATTGTATGATTTTAAAGCTGGAAGGGACCTCAGAGATGTAACTCTCATCCGTTGCCTTCATTTCGTAATGGAGGAAAGTGCAGCCCAGAGACAGATTGACCTGCTCGAGGTCAACCAGAGGTCTGGACAGAAATCTCCTGACCCCGAGTCAGCGTCTAGCCCATTACTGCTCCGTGTAAACACTGGCTCTCCTCCCCCAGTGAAGCCAGTGTGTGGAGGCAGACTGAAGCCGTGGTTGGTATCCTCGCCCTTTCATGGGTGATAGTAAGCTGTGCCCTTCCCCACAGTTGAGAATTGTGTATTTGCACTGCACTACATGTGGCGAAAGCTACTGTCCTCAGTTCGTTTGCGTGTCCTCTTCAGGGTGGACATCTTAAGGTGGCAGGTGGAGGGTTCTAGCCAGAGAGGCTGCTTCATACCCTTGTCCTGTCTGATCTACAGCCCTAGACTCTGCAGACCTGAAGACAGACTAAGAAAGGCACACCTGTCTCACATGTAAACTGGAGAGAATAGTGTCTACCTCCTAGACTTAAGAGAATTAAATATTTTTTAAAGTTTTATTTTATTTGTTTATGCACACCAGGGCTGAGGTATAGGCCAGAGGTGCGGGGGAGGGAGTGAGAGGGTTCACCAGAGACAGAGTAGGGAGCAGAACAAGCAGATCCACTGAAATATGCTGCTGAGGGGAGCAGTGGGCTAGACAGGAGAGGTCTGCTGCACCATGTGGGTCAGCGCCCTGCTGGAGATTGAACTCGTGCTGCAGTGGCTGCCAATAGCTTCATAGTGCTGAGACTTAGCCCCTTGGGCCACCAGGGAGGGTCATTTCAGAATTAAATAATTTGAACAGTACTTTGGTCATGTGTGGCAGCGCTATATCATCACCACCATCACCACCAGCAGGAGAGATAGAAACATCTATCCTGTTTCCTCCCAGTTTGGTAGATAAGTTTTTTATTTTGTCTCTGGGAAGAGGGAAAAACCAAGAT